CACTGCACTGTCCTGTGCTGCAGCAGACGAGGTCCCTCAGTGCACTCTGGAGCTTCCCTGGTGGTGTTTCATGGGTACCTCTGTGCAGCAGTGCGTGAGCGCATCCAAAATACCAGCATCGCTGGGTGTGTGTGCCTACAGACTTCTTCTAATCAACAGAGCAGGGCTGATTTGCAACTGGGCAAGCACACATTTTCAAAATGTGCTCAAGCCCTATGGAGACCAGAATTTCATTTTCCTTAGTGCCCTACCTCAGGAAACAGACTGAGTAAAGCATAGCCCAGCCACTCTGGCAACTTTCAAGTCTCTGCACTGTAAACTAGGACCCTTACTTCCTCTCATTTTATACAGCAAAGCTTCTCCGAATCCTGCAGGAAGCCTACTCTGTCCCAAAGGGCCAGCTTCCACCCCCAGTCATCCAGTGTGCACTTACAGGGATTGACTCCTGAGGGAAGATGGTGAGATTCTGACTTACACATTGGCTTTTCTCACTTATTAAAATCCCAAAGCAGATACAAGGGAACGAGATAAAATTCTGACACGAAGTTGAAACGTAATGTGTGAAGCAGCAAAATGAGGGGTTTTGATGTCCTTTCAATACACCCTGAAGTTTTCCTGGCAATTTTCTGCCCTTGCAGTCAGAGATGCTTTGGCAAATGGGTGTGCAGCCACGATGCTACCAGGATTCATTCATACATTTGTGTGAACATGGGTATAAAAACCTGGAACTCTCCAAACATCTTATCAAGGAGAAGATCAAGCACCACGTACCCCAGAAATCCACACCGCTGGCCACCGAGAGAAGACAAGTCCTACGTCTGGGAGAGCAGAACGGGCTATCGGCGAGGATGTCTTTCCCCAAATCCCCAAATTCAGCTCGGCTCTGAGGTCTCGGACACAAGGACCCTTCCCTCCCTCCCCCTTACCTGAGCCGCCCACGTTGGACCGCAGCAGGCAGGTCCTGCGGGAGAAGGAGAAGGAGGAGATGTCGCTTTGGGAGCGGCCGCGGGGACCGGGCAAGGACCAGACGGGCAGCGGTGCTGTCCCGCTGCTCCCTGGCCTTTCAGCCATCGTCGACGGGCAGCCGAGAACGGCAGGGAGGAGAGAAGAGGAGGGAGAGAGGCGGCGAGGGAGGGGACAGGGAAAGTTTGCAGAGGAAGAGCCGCCCCTCTCCTCCGACCGCCCCGCCGGGACGCCGGCGGCGATTTTGGGTCTCTGTGAACATAAATTTTGTGTTTGAACAGGAGCAAAGCAAAGTGGGTTTGCGGGTTGGGCGCGCGGATGCACCCATCCCTCAGGGTGTCTTCATGCTCCCGCCATTGCCATCTCTCGGGGGAAAAAAAGGGGAAAAAAAGGATAAGAGAATCAGTTAAAAAGAGCCGAGTAACCCACACCGCCACTTCTGTTTTGTGTAACAGGGTGCCCTCTCCCCCGCAAAGCCGGAAGGTTGCACAAGGCACAGCATCCCTGCAGAAGAGCTGCGAGAGAGACGAGTCAAATATCCTCCCCACCCCGTCACCTCCCTCCCCATCTTTCTTAAGGATTGGGTTGCATGTAGGAGACTTAACTAACTTCGGCAGGAAGGTGCTGCCTTTCACATCGGTCACACAGACCTAGGCAGAAGTAAAATCAAGCTTCATGGTTTCGTTTCCTGGTGTTTTACAGAAACCCTTTTACAACAAAATGCACCTTTAAAGGGAAATGTTATGTTCACACTGCTTCTTACAGGCAAGTCATCACATACTGCTTTGAATGAAATCCTCGCTGCCGTGCAGCCACAATGAAAACACAGAAAAGACTGCAGCCTATATTTTTAATGCGTCCAGAGTTGCATAGTTATTCTATGTGAAAGTTGCATTCAAGCTGCATTTTAACAACTACGACTCTTCAGGTCTGATTCAAAACCTATCGAGTCTGAAAGCTGTCCACGTGAAATTTGCCCACGTGAAATTCAGTTTCTGGTTTCTGTTTTCACCCAAGTCTTCATCTCAACGCCGAGCCCGTGCAGCTCCTCAGGCGTAGGGGTTTTGTGATCTTCCCAGCAGTCACTCTCCTCATTTGTCGAAGCAATTGATCCAGCACAGGAGTCTCGTATGTCAGCCATTAGTCAGGTCGAAAGGTCTTTTCTGCTCAGTTTCCCTCAGGGGATTGCCTTCATTGTTTCCTCTCCTCCTTCCCTCTGCTGACAGACCAGCCTTCCCCAGCCACAGAGCTTTCCCAGCGGGACTGTGAGAGGGAGAGGCACGGGCTTCTCGCAGGATACGGCAGTGAGCTCCATCCAGCCCCTCTCACGGGGCCCGGAGGCTCCATGCTCACACAGGCAGGAACGCTGTACCCACGCTTAGAGAGCTTTTTGCAGCTGCGCACACCAGTCCTGTGTTATTTACAAAATCTGACGATGTGCTATTTTTATTATTTACCCTTTGCAGCTTGCATCATTACAAATGTGAGAGTACAAAAAGGACCATTTTCCCCAACAGGGATTTCAGTACCTGGGCACGAATGGGCTGGTGACATCTTCTGGACCTGTTTATACTTTAATCAGAAGTGTACTCATCACTGCTGTTTACTGAAATGTTTGTCACTTTTCTTTTCCCTTCCTTTTTTCCTTTTCTTTTTCTTTTCCTTTTTATTTTCTTTCTTTCTTTCTTTCTTTCTTTCTTTCTTTCTTTCTTTCTTTCTTTCTTTCTACTTTCTTTCTTTCTTTCTTTCTTTCTTTAAAGAGGTGTGATCAAGTTCATTATTGAAATACACAGTCCCTGCTCCAAACCTCACCAAAGTTTATGGCAGGTCAGCGAGCTTTGGGTCAGACCCTGACTTTTTTTTAACATCATTTTTTCTTCCAAACATTTTGAGCTACAGAGCAATTGTACCTTTGTCGTGCTGTACAGAATGTATGCTTCAAAATTCCCACATTAAGGAGTTGCTTCCGTGTCTGCAATTCTTTGGTGCAATCAAAAAGGAAAACATGAGGAAATTGAAAGATAAACTAGAAAGGATCTCATACAAGAGGTCAAAGGCATCTAAAGGTTTCCTTTGAGAAGCAAAGTGACACCTAAAGGGGTGAAGGAAAAAAAGACATAAAGTAGGTCAACAGTGAATGTAAAAGAGATATGAAGAGGCTCCTGTTGTAATATCAAAGTGCTTTGGTAAATCAGAGTAACGTGAACAGTCACAAAGAATAATGTGCTGGATACTACAATGGTTTTTATTTGCCTGTAACTTATATTAATCAAGGTATATAAATTAAAATATTACAAAATCATGTACATCTTGTTTTCACAGCCCTTTAAATATTTTTGAATTACATGTAACAGTTGTGGTTAATGGCTCTGGAAACTGAAGCTCTATTTCCATAAAACAGGAGTAAAGTATACACCCTTCCCAGTTGGAGAGAGATTAAATTCAGTTGCCTGGTCATTCATTTGCTACTGTTCTGATGAGATTGCCAAAGAAATCTCCGTTTGTGGTGCTGATTATGAAAAGTTAGTATTTGCTCATTAAACCAAATAATTTCACAAAGTCTGTCCCATGGCAGCTGGGGGCTGAAGTAAAAACACAAAATTCGGGCATCAGGAAAGACTGGGGAAGCACCAGCTCGGGCAACAAATTGCTGGAAGATGTATTTTTTAAACTATGTGCCTGCCACCCGTGAGCCGCAGCACAAACGCCAAGTGTCATCTAGGGAATTGAGGAAGTTTGGCACAGGCCATTCTAATGATCGAAGGGAGAAATGCTTCTTTGACAGGCCACCTCTCTGCCCGGGAAGCCTCCACATACAAGTCGGCTGGAAGAAGATGCAGAGCGATGTTACACCCTGTCCTTGGCAGGACGAGTGAAGCTGAGCCTTTTGTGGGAAGCAGGGGGGCAGGACAAAGCCAGCAGGCTGCCGAGGCTCCTGTGGGGCGGCGCGGCTGCAGACCCAAGGCTCGGACGCGGATCTGGCTGGAGATCCAAGCTCGGACGCGGGTCCGGCTATAGATCCAAGCTCGGACGCGGGTCCGGCTGCAGATCCAGGCTCGGCCCCGGTCCGGCTGTAGATCCAAGCTCGGCCCCGGTCCGGCTGCAGATCCA